TTAGCCGAGGAATGCTCTCAAGGCAATGGCAGAGGTGGTATTGCCCAAGTGGAAACACATAAGTGCTTTTCTGAGGTACTGCTGGAGTAACCTGTTACTATCCCCTTGGTCAAATCAAGTCTGTGGTTTAGCCCAGATTCACTGTTAGAGACCAAGTGGAGCGACAAAAAAATTAGTTCCCCTCCCTCCCCCCACAAAAAAGACTGTTTTTGCAAACTATCACAGATGAGATGTTGAATTCATAATGCTTATGGAGAAGGTTACTAGAGGCCCTATTATGTCTTATATGTTATGGTACTATGTTGCAGTGATTCAAATTTTACGTATTTATATTCTTTTTTTTTTTTTTAACAATGAAGTTTTTGGGTCTTTTTTTTAGTTTTTTTCCATACAAAAATTTATACACACATTTTTATGTGACTCTAAGTGCTCTCCCCATACTGTGACAGCACACTCCTCCTTTCCACCGCTGATTCCCCATGTCCATTCAACCAGCTCCTAACTCTCTCTGCCTTCCCATCTCACCTCCAGACAGAAGCTGCCCGTTTAGTCTCTTGTATCTACTTGAGCTAACAGGCACACTCCTCACAAGTATCACTTTATGTCCCACAGTCCAGTCCAATCCCTGTCTGAAGAGTTGGCCTCAGAAATTGTTTTAGTTCTGGGCTGATAGAGAATCCAGGGGTCATGCTGTCCGGGGTTCCGCCAGTCTCAGTCAGAACATTAAGTCTGGTTTTCTTACTAGAATTTGAGTTCTGCACCCCACCTTTCTCCTGCTCCATCTGGGACTCTCTCTTATGTTCCCTGTCAGGGCAGCCATTGGTGGTAGCCTGGCACCATCTAATTCTTCTGGTCTCAGGCTGATGAAGTCTCTGGTTTATGTGGTCCTGGCCCTTTCTGTCTCTTGGGCTGATAGTTTCCTTGTGTCTTTGGTGTTCTTCATGCTCCTTTACTCCAGGTGGTTGGGACCAGTTGATGCATCTTAGATGGCCGCTTGCAAGCTTTTAAGACCCCAGGTGCCACTCACCAAAGTAGGATGGAGAACATTTTCTTAATAAGCTTTGTTATGCCAGTTGACCTAGATGTCCCCTGAAAACATGGTCCCCAGACCCCTACCCCTACTACTCTGTCCCTCAAAGTGTTGGATTATATTCTGGAAACTTCTTAGCTTCGATTTAGTGCCATTGTGCTGACTTCTTCTGTAGTGTGTGCTGTCCTTCCCTTCACCTAAGACAATTCTTATCTGCTATCTAGTTAGTGAATACTCTCTCCCTCCCTCCCCACCCTCGTAACCATCAAAGAATGTTGTCTTCTGTATTTAAACCTTTTCTTGAGTTCTTATAATAGTGGTCTTATACAATATTTGTTCTTCTGTGACTGACTAAATTCACTCAGCATAATGACCTCCAGCTTCCTCCATGTTATAAAATGTTTCATGGCTTCATTGTTGTTCTTTATTGTTGCGTAGTATTCCATTGTGTGGATATACCATGATTTCTTTATCCATTCGTCCGTTGATGGGTACCTAGGTTGTTTCCCTCTTTTTGCTATTTTGAACAGTGGGAATGGCACTCAAAGTCCATGGATCACTTATGTCTGTGCCTAGGCAAAGGAGCTGTGCCTACCCTGTGCCTACCCTGGGTTCCTGGCTTAGGGGATCCGGCAGTTTATTTTTTGCCCTGTTTGTTAGTTTGTTTACTCTCCAAGGCAGGGAGAATGGCTCTAGGCGTGTGATGAATCCTAATTCCGGCCCAGGGGACTCGGCAATTGCTGAAGCGGTCCGGGACCCAGTGCAGAGCAGGGAGCAGGGAGGTAAATGGGAGAGAGGTTTTTCCCTGAGGGGGCAGTTTTTGATCTGCGCGTAGGCTGTACGCAAGTACTTATCTTTCACCGATGAGGGCTGCTTCTCACTGGTTCTGGGTGGCTGTGTAGACTCTCTGGTGCTTGGTCTCACCTGGTGTGGAAAACGGGCCTCCTAAGCACCGCTGCTTGCATGCCTCACAGCTCACCCATGAGCTGATCAGGCCTGATGGTCTCAGGCTCTCACCTGGTCAAGTCTGGCAACTCCTCGCTGCTTCCAAACCATCTCTCTCTCCCCCGTCACTCAGTCCAGTTCCTCAACTCTGCCTTTGATGTTCAGGGCTCCCAGATTGCAATATATAGTCAAATCACTTGTTTTATAGGGTCTTTGTTGTAAGAGTGTCCACCGGCAGCGTCTGACTACTCCGCCATCTTGGCACCACCTCTTGAAGGTCTACCTATTTATATTCTAATCAGCCTAAGTCAGGAAGATTTAAATAAGTTTTATCACAGATGCTTACTTTGCCCTCTGTGTAATGATAATAATGATAGTTTCTATAAACTGAATTGTTCTCAGTATTTTTAGGAGGTACTTAAAACATCTACATAGCTCTAACTTCATTGCCACAGACATATATCCTGGGATTTTAGAGTTTAAAAATTAAAAGTTGGAGTAGGATCATAAATATTACTGTATATTCCACTTTATTATTGTTGAGTAAACCTTATCTCTTCAGTAATTGTTTTCAGAAACAATACGAGTATCAAAATTATATGAATCACAATTATTTGATAAAAATTTTTATTTTACTAAATAACCTAAAAACCTTTCCTTTCTTCATCCAGTTATTTCTTTTTTTAGATTTGCACTCTGAACTTAATTTAGTTTAGTTATCTTAACTCCCTCACTACAAAATCTATACTTTTAGACAGCTCTAATATTTTCCTAACATCCCTAACTACATAATGATTTCCCTTTGGAGACTCCCTAATGAGCCATTTTCTCAGGATTGCTGTCTAGCCTATTATAGTCTCTGAACATATGGTATAGTGTTTTGAACATAAAATAATTCATGATCCATTCTTAATTTCTTCATGTACTTATTTGTGTTATTTTTCAGTTACTTTTATTATTTTCAGTTCCTATATACCAAATCATGTTGTTGTTAGGTACTGTCTTTCACTGTCATATCTCAGGGGTATGTCAACTTTCTAATCCTATGTCATAATTTAGTCTCCAAGGACCTTGATTATCTTTCCTTTCTACAAAACCTCACACTGCTCCCTCCATTACATTGATGGCATCATGCTGATTGGACCTAGTGAGCAAGAAGTAGCAACTGCTGTAGACTTGGGAAGACATTTGTGTGCCAGAGGACAGGAGATAAACCTGATAAAAATTCAGGGGTCTTGCATGTCAGTGAAATTTCTAGGAGTCCATGTAAAGATGTTCTTTCTAAGGTAAGGATAAATTGTTGCATCTGGGCCTCTTACTACTAAAAGGGAGGCATAATGCCTATTGTACCTCTTTGAATTTTGAAGGAAACATATTCCTCATTTGGGTGTACTACTCTGCCCCATTTATCAAGTGACTGAAAAGCTTCTAGTTTTGAGAGGATTTCAGAACAAAAGAAGGCTCTACAAAAGGTCCAGGCTGCCATGCAAGCTGCTCTGTCACTTGGGCCATATGATTTGGTAGATTCAATGGTGCTTGAAGTGTCAAAGTCAGATATACTGTTTGGAGTCTTTGGCAGGCCCCTGTTGGTGAGTCACAGTACATATCCTTAGGATTTTACAGCAAAGTCTGCCGTACTCTGCAGATTACCATCCTCCTTTGAAGAAATAGCTTTTGGCTTGCTATTAGGCCTTAGTAGAGACTGAACGCTTAACTATAGGCCACCAAGATAACATGTGACCTGAGCTACCCATCATAAACTGGGTATAGTCTGACCCACAAAGTCATAAAATTAGGTGTACACACCAGTAGTTTATTGTCAACTCAAAGTAATATATAGATTAGGGTTGAACAGGTCTGACTGTTTAAGAAGACGTGTTTGGGTGCCAACTTGACAAAGGGTGCACTGTGATGATTCATTTTATGTGTCAATTTGACTCGGCTGTGGTGCCTAATTATTTGGTCTTATATTCCTTTTCATCAACAGCAGACAAGAATCAGGATGAGATACAGCTTCAGTTATATTCAATAAAAACCTATTGTTTACATGGTGTTAAGTGCTTAAAATACATAATGATGAAAAATAGGGTATGACACCAGCCAGTAAGTAATCTAGTGTTCTGAAATCACATATGTAACCCTAATATATCCACGAGTCCATGTGACTTAGTTATTGCGGAATCATTTTTAAAGAAGAACATTTAATTAGATCACTTATCAACATTACCACTTCTAAACAATCCCTTTCTTCCTTCCCCAATTTCCAATGAACACAAAGTGTTCCCAGGATTCACCTTTCAAGCTCCAAAACCCCTGTTCTAGTTTTAGAGACGTTTATATTTCCGCCTTCTTCTTTCTCTTTAATACATTTAGCAGGATGAATAACCCTACTCCCAGCAAGCAAAAGGGGGAGAAAAATAATTGACAGGAAACAGAGAAAGAGGGGTGGCCTGTGAACACTCATTCATTACTAATTGTTATATTATCACATATTCATTAACTTATTATTTTATTTCTTCTCTTCAAGTTGATCACTGTCATAAGCATAAGGAAGAGGTAGAGGAGATATTCTACAATGTATCTTTGTTCACAATACATATGAACCAATTACGCAAAACTTTATATTGCATTATATTGTTCATAGTTCTAAAAGCAAGTTTAAAATAGATATTTTCTTTGTGCTCTTATTTTCTTACAAGAAGAATCTCTGATGTTCATCCAATGACTGTGAAAGTAAAGTGCAAACCTAGCTTGCCCAAGTATCTCCACATGTTTTGACTGATACTGTTTTTTTTTTTTTTTTGCATGGTAAAATAATATTTACTACCAATACTTATCTGAAATCTAAGTAACCTTAAAGAATCATTTTCTGTTAGAGTTTTCAGGTTTTTATTTTGTTTTCAGGACCAAATACTGAGCACTTCAAATTTCCAGGCTTTTGAAGTCAATCCCAACAATAATATTTAACTTCACAAACTTGTTTTTTTTCCTTTCTGGAATGTCAGTGATCTCCATAGTTGGCTGATTATATCTTCAAGTCACACGTCTCCTGCTCTATTTCATTATTGTGCATTTTCTCAGCAAGCATGTTTGCTGTCTTTTCCTGAAGGATTTTATTCCACTCCTCAAGGACTTTTGCCTCCTCCTGAAGGGGTTTTTCTTCTGGAAGAGCACTGTTTTCTTCTCTGAGGGCCTTGTTCTCCTCCCGAAGGGCCTGCTCCTCTTTCCACAGAGCCAGTTCTTCCAACTCCAGTGCTATTCCCTCCTTCATCAGGGCCTGCTCCTCCAATCTGAGTGCTTTCTCCTGATGTTGCAGGGCCCTGATTTCCTCCTGGAGAGATCTGATTTCTTCTTGAAGAGCTTTTGCCTCATTCTGGAAGGCTTTCTCCTGCTCTTTGAAAGCCTTGATCTGGGCCTCAAGGGCTTAGTTTCTTTGCCAATAAGACTTTTCTTCTGTGTTTAAAGCACGACTTTTTTCCCCAGATAATTTTTGGCTCTCAGAAATCACATTTTTACACTTCCAGAGGACCTGATTGTGCTGTCTCAGGATGTGGTTCTTTTCCCGAATTAACTGGTTGTCCATTCGGAAGACTTTGTTTTCTTGTCGGAAAGCTTTGTTTTCACCCCAGAGGGACTTGTTTTCCTTTTTAAGAGCCTTATTCTCATCTCTAGACATCTTATTATCTCTCTGAAGAATTTTTTCCACTCCATGAGGTTCATGTTTGAGCTTATCTTTATCTTGAGCGCAAGAGAGAGAAAAAGAAACCAAGCGCAATATCGTCCCTTGATTTGTCCACTTTGATTCAGAGATAACCATTGTTTGTTAGTGTTTTATCTGAATAAATATATAATACACTTTCCATGTGTCCTGGGTTTAACCAAAGATGAACTAATGGTATTTGTAACCAGAAAATATTCTAAACTTGTTGAGAATATTTTTCATATAGATTTGGTTGTTGTGCTGATTTCCACAAAGTGTAATATGGCAAAGATCTAAATAATGCTCAGTCAGGCCCGCTGCAGGGAAAACAAAAACAAAAAACGGTGAAACTATGAATAGAAGTCAACAAGTGAACTACTAAAACCCGTTGCCGTCAAGTCAGTTCTGACTCATAGTGACCCTATAATTGAAATGACATGAATTTAAAAATTAACACATATAAATTACAAATTAATAACCTTATTCTAGATTACGTATAGAAATTGATCAAGGGTAATGCATTGTATTATTTACTGTGTGTCTGTGAGCCAAACTATATCTACTAAACCATCAGTTGTCCATTAATCTATTAATTTGCTATAAGTTAACTGCCTGTTATTGTTGTGAAATTATTATATCATGTATTTAGAAAACATTCCTGGCTTTGTAAGAATTAGAAAACACTTTTTAAGATGTTATATGCTATATTTTTTATGATATTTAAGTTATTAGTAGAAATATCAAATATATAAACAGATATTCACACTTCCATAAATGTGGCCTCTGAATTTCCTGCAAGCCTGGTTCCTTTTAGCACTAAAACGCAACTAGGCAACACTTTATGTCATCTACAGTGATGTCATTTAGTATTGACATTAATGATACAATGGGTGCTCTTTGTAGTGTTTGACTTTTTTTAGCATGTGTTTTAAAGGAAAAAATGCATTTAAAAAACAAATGTTTGAGATTATATTGAAAGTTTTTATCTGTTATTAAATAAATATTCAGCCTTGCATCCATTTAACTTATTAATATTGATTAATTTTTGTTATTAGCCAAATAACGTCTAATTAGCGTATCCTAGGAATTGACATAGGCTAATAAACATTATATAATCAAAGGTGAAACTATTTTAAGATCACTGCTAAATAATCAATATCAGAAAATGTGTTTATTATACACATTATTATAATCCTATCTAAGAAAAATGTGTTTATTACACACATTATTATAATCCTATCTAAGAAAAATTTTGTGTTATCCAATATACGTTCACTGCTAGTATAAAAAACAACAGAGTATTGATTGTATAACTAAAAAACAGTATATTTTTGCTGAGGTATTAAAATAATTGTATATTAAATAGATACCACAATGTGTTAACTATTTATTACTATACATTTCTAATTGGTTTAAGGTGTAAACTTGAAAACTGAATAAGCAATATCATGTATATGCCAGAACCACTCACCCTTGAATTAAGATTTGCCAATTTATTCTTCTTACCAGGTTTCTTAGCAACTCTTTATATTAAACTTGTTTAACAAGGTTCAAAAAATAAACATTTTTAATTTTCATATGTTCTTAATAAATGTAGTAAAAGAAAATCATGACAAAAAAGAGTTCACATAAAATTAAGAAGATTCATGTAAAAAGTTTTCATTTTCTTTTTTTTTAACTTGGTAAGAGTGAAAGGGACATTCAATCATCTTCATGTATAACTGAATTGAGAAATCATTTTATTTAAATAGGTGCCAGCTTCTTCTTCATATGAATGTTTCTGCTCTTGTGTTACTGCTACCTGGTAGCTAAAGATTCAAACAGTTTTAAAAAACAAAGAATTCTGGGTATTCTGTATTGGAATGTTGTGATTCCTGAGGCTAAAGAGTAAACTGGAAAGTAAAGAACAAAGAAAAACAAAAAAAACAAAAAAACCTCTGTTACCTTTTATCTATTGAATACGTTGAATGTATTAAAAACTTTCCCACAAATAAACTACAGGGCCAGATGGCTTTATTAGTGAATTCTTTAAAGTATTGTAGAGAGACACTACCAGTCATTCCATACTTTTTTTAAGTGATAGAAAAAGAATGAACGATTTGTTGTTTTGAGGCCACATTACTGCAACAAAGAAACCTGACAATGACATTACAAATCAGAAAGCTATAGCCTGAGCTATCTCATGAACACAGATGCAAACATCCTAAACAAAAGATTAGCAGACCGAATTCAACAACTCATAAAATAAGTGATATATCATCACTAAATTGGATTTAATTCCAGAATGCAAGACTAAGTTAACAATGGGAAATCAATTAATATAATTCACCACATTTACAGAAAAAAGGAGAAAAATCTCGTCTCATGTTGAGATAAGAAAAATCATTTCAGTAGATTCAGAAACAGCATTTGATTATCAAAAAGAAAATCAACAGACTTGCATGATTAAAAACCTAAACCAAATCACCACCATCACTGACAACAATATCCTTTTGCCTAGTAGAAATAGAAGGGAACTTCCATTAAAAGAAAAAAAAAAAAAAAAACTACAGAAACATATGTGATTATGAAATATTTATAGACTAGAAAGATATAAGGATGCCCACTGTCATCACCTTCATTTTTTCTTCTACTGGAATTCCTCACTGCTGCAATAAGACACAATAAGAAATAAAGTAAGGACTGGAAAGAGAGAAAAAAAAAAAAAAGCCTGTCATTATTTGCAAATGATATCACAAATATTTAAAATCCAAAATAACCTACAGTTAAACTATTAGAACTAAACAAGGTATAGCAGACTTATTGGATACAAGGGCAATCTAAAAGTCACTTTATAAATTCAAATAATAAACAATTAGAAAATGAATTTTATTAGTGTATATCATTTACATTGTCAGCAAAAATAAGATTGTTGTTGTTAGGTGCTATCCCGTCAGTTCCCACTCCCAGTGACCCTATGTACAATAGAACGTAGTGCTGCCCAATCCTGGGCCATCCTCACAATCTCTGTTTTGCTTGTCCCCATTGTTGCAGGAGCTAGTGAGTCAATCCATCTCATTGACAGTCTTCCTCTTTTTCGCCGACCCTCTACTTTACCAAGCATGATCTCCTTCTCTAGGGAAACGTCCCTCCTGATAACTTGTGCAAAATACATAAGTCATCAGTTTAAATACAATGCTTCTAAGAACCATTCTGGCTGTATATCTTCCAAGACAGATTTGTTCATTCTTCTGGCAGTCCATGGTATATTCAATATTCTTTACTGACACCATAATTCAAATGTATCACTTCTTCTTCAGTCTTCAGTGTTAATTGTCCAGCCTTCACATGCATATGAGGCAGTTGAAAATACCATGCCTTGGGTCAGGAGCACCTTAGTCCTCAAGGTGACATCTTTGCTTTTTAGCACGTTAAAGAGCTCTTTTGCAGTAGATTTGCCCAGTGCAATATGTTGTTTGATTTCTTGATGTTGCTTCATGAGCTTTGATTGTGGATCCAAGTAAAATTAAATTTTTGACAACTTCAATATTTTCTCCGTTTATCATGATATTGCTTATTGGTCCAGTTATGAGGATAAGATATATGGAAATAAATCTATGCAAGATCTCTACACAGAAAAATACAAGCATTAGTGAGAGAAATTACAGAAATTTAAATAATAGGAAGAACAGGCCTTGTTTATGTTTTGGAAGACTCAATATTGGAAGTACGTTAAGTCTCCCCAGATTGATTCATATGTTCAATGAGTTCCCCCCAAAATAATTGCTGTTGTTTGTGTGTGTGCATGTGTGTATTTATGTGTATAAATTAAAAAGTTGATTCTAATATTTTTATTGAAATGATCTTGAGAAGATCAACTTATTAAAAAGCTGTACTAAGTCAAATAGTACAGTGTTAATTCAAGGTTAGATAAGTAAATCAATGAATCAGTGAAGGAAGCTCAGAAACAAACCCACATACTCACAGACACTTGATTTACGATAAAGCTGGCACTGAATAGCTAAGGGAAAAGGAAGAAATTTCAATATGTTATTCTATGTCAACTACATATCCATCTGGAAAAAAATAAATCTTGATTTTACCTTCTACCACACACAAAAATCAATTTCTGTTAAACTGTTAAGTTTCAGTGTGGAAGCTAAAACAATAAAAATTTCAGAAAAGAACAGAAGAAAATATATTTATGTCCTTGGAATATGCACAGGTGTTTTTGAAGGGAAACTCAAATGGACTATTGAAAAGGGAAGATTAAAAAATTAACTACACCAGAATCAGGAGCATCTGTTTATCAAAAGACATCATTAAGCAAGTGGAATAAAAAGCTGCAATTTGAGAAATACTATTTACAAACAATGTAGTTGACAAAGGGTTTATATGCAGAATGCATAAATAATTCATAACAAGATTTTATAAGACAGATAATTTTTTTAAAAGGCAGAATAATTGAGGAGGCACCTCCCAAAAGAAGATATTAAAATATAAAGTTATGATGCTGTGCTAAATTTCATTAAATTGGGGGCACGTTAACTACCACTTCTTAAGTTCACACATACAAGACAAGGCAAGGCATGATTTGACCAATAAAGATTCAACAAGCCACTTTTAGATTTAAATAGTTTATTATTTTCATACAGACAGAGAAAACAATCTGGAAGCCTATAAGACCCTGTCTCTTGATAGTCTCCCAGAGGATACTGAGGGGTGAATGGGAAATTGCCTTGTATCAGCCCCTTACATTTCCCTTATGTTCCAGGAGGGTTGCAGGGTATTCTGCCAAGATTCAGGTAAGCTGTGATTCAACCTTTGATTATATGGATATATACAAGCTCTCCAGGGTGCCATGTGGAATCATTCTGTTGTATTACTGCATATTCAGAAAAATAGCTAAAATTTAAAAGACTGATTACACAATACTGAGAGAGAAAAGTTCATAACCTGCCCAATAAGAAATTCTTGGGGAGGCATGGAGAAACTCAGTTCTTATGGGAGTGCAAACTGGTACAACCACTTTGGAAAACCATTAAGCAGTATCAATGAAAGCAAAATATATGTGTACCCTGTGATCGAGAATATGTGCACATGCACAATAAATACCTGGAAAGTGAGATCATAGTAAC